TGTGGCAGATTTCAAAATGCTTCCATGATAGGGAGCCAAGAGGATATACTAGCTGGAAGGAGGCTTTCGAGGAGAGGAGGGCACTCTTCCGTTCGCCTACTAACAAATTGACACACTCCTCAACCACTTATCAGTTTCTGGATCACGGAGGAAAGGAGGACAGACACGTCTAGGAGAGGACAGACTTTTGCCCAATTGAGAATATACCCCCTCATCACAGTTTTGGACAGTGTTCCTTATTGCCTGCGAAGCATGCTAAGCATTGTTGAAGCTATTCTGGACAATATTTGTATCCTATGGTAAAGACCAATGTGGGACGACTGACCTAGGCCAACCAAGCTATATCCCTGGGTTTGCGTGTGTACATGCAATGTGCAGGTGTGTGTGTGAGCTTTTGTGTGTGTGCAGATAGGTTTCTAAAGGGAGGGTATATTTCTGGTAACGATTGAAGTTTACCAGTAAACTATCAGAATTTTGGTAACTTTCAAGGATTTTATGTAATTTATAACATGACATCTAGTGGCCTTTTCCCCCCAGATTATCACAGGTGTCTGTAATTATCTCTGGCCCTCTGTGTGGCCATATCATATATAAAATAATGAAATAAGATGATTTTAAAATAGAATATTGAATGACAAAGCTGTGAAACATTATCCTAAATATAACCAATCAACTTAGTAAACACCATTGGTGTTTAATATGAGGGTTTCAGTGTGAAATATCCTTTATATTTTTACACACTTTTATTTATTTTCCTAGCTATGTCAGTATGTCTTTGTTGTAAATGTTTTGCCACCAAACTGGGGGCAATTGTGAAAAAAGTAAATAGTTGGAGGAGTTACAAAGTAATAAATAATACAATTGTTGATTATGCTTTAATCATTAATTAGGCTATTTTCTCTTGAACCATATGGTCGATCCACTAAAAATACATGGACAATATGGACACAGATATAAAAAAAGTAATACTTTATATAAAAACATTTAAATTTTGTTATTCAAGTATAGATGACCAAAGTTACCATATATTACCATAGTTTACCTGTTAATTACCAAAATTACTGAAAATTCTGGTAACTTTCGTAAATAACCCGTAGTTTTGCAACCCTATGGGTTGAGTAGTTCTGTGCTGTACTGTGTTGCTGCTGTAGTGTTGTTATACTTCCCCTCTCCAGGCAGTGGTCTGTCTCTCTGCGGTTAAACTGACTCACGGGATGCGGTCTCATGAAAAAGACCAACACGAAAAAGACAACAAAGCCTCGGCAGGCCTACATCTGGAGACACAGGCACACACACACAGACACACACACTAACCCTGTCTCCATGGGGGTACTAAGGAACAACTGCTACACATTAGCACTTGGGTACACATGCAAGTAAACACAGAATGAGCCAGAACATGAGTGAGACATATGGGTTCAGTTTGTCACCCTATTCTCTCCATCTCTCTATCTAGAACTATTTCTAAGTCTGCTTGACATCAGTACAGAACTGCTTTTTTGGGGAGTATTTTTGTGTGGGGTATGGATGGACTGGTACAGGGCATTGCAAGATGCTAGAAGTCCAGTGTGAAGATATAGACTGAACAAAAATATAAACGCAACATGCAACAACTTCAAAGATTTTACTGCGTTACAGTTCATATAAGGAAATCAGTCAATTGAAATAAATTCATTAGGCCCTAATCTATGGATTGCACATGACTGGGAATACAGATATGCATCTGTTGTTCACAGATACCTTAAAAGAAAGGTAGGGGCGTGGATCAGAAAACCAGTCAGTATCTGGTGTGACCACTATTTGCCATATGCAGCGTGACACATCTCCTTCGCATAGAGTTGATCAGGCTGTTGATTGTGGCCTGTGGCTGTGTGAAGTTGCTGGATATTGGCGGGAACTGGAACACGCTGTAGTACACGTTGATCCAGAGCTTCCCAAACATGCTCAATGATTGACATGTCTGGTGAGTATGCAGGCCATGGAAGAACTGGGACATTTTCAGCTTCCAGGAATTGTGTGCAGATCCTTGCGACATGGGGCAGTGCATTGTCATGTTGAAACATGAGGTGATGACAGGTGGATGAATGGCTTGAAAATTGGCCTCAGGATCTCGTCACGGTATCTCTATGCATTCAAATTGCCATCGATAAAATGCAATTGTGTTCGTTGTCTGTAGCTTATGCCTGCCCATACCATAACCCCACCTCCACCATGGAGCACTCTGTTCATAACATTGACATCAGCAAACCGCTCGCCCACACAACGCCATACACGTGGTTTGCTGTTGTGAGGCCGGTTGGGCACACTGCCAAATTCTCTAAAACAACATTGGAGGCATCTTATGGTAGAGGAATTAACATTCAATTATCTGGCAACAGCTCTGGTGGATATTCCTACAGTCAGCATGCCAATTGCACACTACCTCAAAACATGAGACATCTGTAACAAAACTGCACATTTTATAGTGGCCTGTGTAATGATCATGCTCTTTAATCATTTTCTTTATATGTTACACCTGTCAGGTGGATGGCTTATTCTGGCAAAGGAGAAATGCTCACTAACAGGGATGTAAACAAATTTGTGCACAACATGTTAGAAAAATAAGCTTTTTGTGTGTATTGAATATTTCTGGGATCTTTTATTTCAGCTCATTAAACATGGGACAGACACTTTATATGCGTTTATATTGTTGTTCAGTGTATGTTTGGCCCATGCTGATGTGTTTTCAGGCTGTTGATAGCGTATGTCTCCCGAGTGGCGCAGTGGTCTAAGGCACTGCATCGCAGTGCTAGCTGTGCCACTAGAGATCCTGGTTCGAATCCAGGCTCTGTCGTAGCCGGCCGCGACCGGGAGACCCATGGGGCGGCACACAATTGGCCCAGCGTCGTCTAGGGTAGGGGAGGGAATGGCCGGCAGGGGATGTAGCTCAGTTTGTAGAGCATGGCGTTTGCAACGCCAGGGTTGTGGGTTCGATTCCCACGGGGGGTATGAAAAAATAAAAAAAATATGTATGCACTAACTGTACGTCGCTCTGGATAAGAGCGTCTGCTAAATGACTCAAATGTCAAATGTATAATGTGTTGCTCACACTGGAATGTTTCTCAGTTCACTGTAAAGGTACATGTGTTATGCTCGGTATGTCATATGTTTTGCTTGGGGATATGTTTATTGTGAGTCTTGCCTATATCATGTGTTGTGCTGGGGGTATACACTGAGTATACAAAACATTAAGAACACCTGCTCTTTCCATGACATAGACTGACCAGGTGAATCCAGGTGAAAGCTATGATCCCTTATCTATGTCACTTGTTAAATCCACTTCAATCAGTGTAGATGAAGGGGAGGGGACAGGTTAAAGAAGGATTTTTAAGCCTTGAGACAATTTTGACATGGATTGTGTGTGTGCCATTCAGAGGGTGAATGGGCAAGACAAAAAATGTAAGTGCGTTTGAACAGGGTATGGTAGTAGGTGCTAGGCTCACCGGTTTGTGTCAACAACTGCAACGCTGCTGGGTTTTTCATGCTCAATAGTTTCCCCTGTTTATCAAGAATGGTCCACCACCCAAAGGACAACCAGCAAACTTCACACAACTGTGGGAATATTGGAGTCAACATGGGCCAGCATCCCTGTGGAATGCTTTTGACGCATTGTAGAGTCCATACCCCAACAAATTGAGGCTGTTCTGAGGGCAAAAGGGGGGTGAAACTCAATATTAGGAAGGTGTTCCTAATGTTTGGTATACTCAGTGTATGTCTCACTGTGTTGCGGAAGGTTAGGTATCAGACTGGGGCATGCAGGCTCCAGGTGTTTATAACAGCACAAAGGAAACATCTGCAGCCCACCTTTAAAAGGTCCCCTCTTATAACTCAGACCATGCAGTTTACAGAGTGAACAGACATCACAAACTCACATGACAACACTTTCATGTACACACACATTTTCATTCAGAAGGCGCCAATGATACTCAAGGTTGGGAAATGGAAGGTATTACTGCCATCTTTTGGTCATTGTACAGTGTTACAGTGCATTTTATGAAAATGATCAATGGGTTCATGCTTGGTGTAAATACTGAGTGGAACAATTTAAGATATGAACATTGATACATTTTTCAAGTTTTGCTTGTTACATTTGAAATCCATTTACAGAGACAAAGATGCCGATATTATCTGTGCTGAAAGTTCTCCCATGACGGATTGGTAAAAGCTATGTAGTGGAACCCTTGTTTTCAACCATCTTATATTGTGTTTAATCAGTGATAACTTCAAGGAAGGGGAAAAATACTAACACTTTTTCAAAGCGTAAGAACATGGCCAATCAGTGTGTTTAAACAATGCTGACAGGTGTGTGTAATAATCTAAGCTGATAGGCAATTCACTAAACGAGAAACAGGGAGGAGTCACGTGACTATAAAATATGTTTTTTGGACAGAGACAGCCTTATTGTGGTTGCTGTAAAGCAGACCATAGTTATAATAATAATCATGCTCATGGGGCAGCTGCAGAGAGCATCTCTATATTTAATTGTGCTTCTCTGTTTGGGCTGGGTGTGTGACGCACATTGGAACTCACAGAGAGGGCCTGCTAGACAACCTGTTTTATTGAGCTACGATGATGTGTCACCAGCTAAACCTGAGTTTAGGGAGCTAGTCCAGACCCCAGTCCAGTACCAAGCCAGGCCCCTGGTCACAGCCCGGCCTCCTGATCCCCAGTCAGTTGGGAAGGTGGTGCTGACCACTCCAGAGCTTGTCAGGAGTGTGGGGGCCCGTTGTGGGGAGAGCAGGGTGTGGGTGGAGGCCAAACTGGACCTGTTTGGGACAGGCCAGCTAGTGAAGGCGGAGGATGTCTCCCTGGGAGGGTGTGTCTCCACGGAGTTGGACCTCTCAGCCCAAGTCCTGCTGTTTGAGTCGGAGCTGCACACCTGTGGAAGTGTGCTGACTGTAAGGGCTTCAGTGTTTGGAATAGCTAACTAGTAATTTCTACATGTACTATGACTTCTTCGACTGCATAAGGGTTACTTTATATATGGTTTAGTACCTAGTGTATATATTTTTGTTTAAGATGACAGAGGACTACCTTGTCTATACCTTCACCCTCATCTACACCCCAACACCGGAAGGTGCCAGTTCCATTGTCAGGACCAATGATGCTACGGTCTGCATTGAGTGCCACTATTTGAGGTGAGTGGCGTACTGTAGTTTCAGATTGAATGTACCATTATACAATGATCCCTTCCCCTCTGCCTACCTACCCCAGGAGACTCAATGTGAGCAGCAATGCCCTGAGGCCCACCTGGCTTCCCTATGGCGCTACCAAAGTTGCTGAGGACTCCCTGTCCTTCACCCTCGCACTCATGAATGGTGGGTAATCCACTGAACAGTCTGGGCTTAATAGAGCACACCTACTGTTAATCCATCTATGCACAGCTGCTCTGTTTACTGTACAGTTTGAGAGTGCGTCTGTTTAAAATGTTTCCTAGATGACTGGCAGTATGAGAGATCGTCTAATGTCTACTTCCTGGGAGACATTATTTATCTGGCGGCGTCTGTGCAGCAGTATCACCATGTGCCCCTGCGTGTGTTTGTGGACAGCTGTGTGGCCACCCTGGTCCCTGATGACAACTCTGCTCCCATATATGACTTCATCCAGAACCATGGGTAAGGGCCAATATGAAAGTATATTTTCTTGTCTTTAAATGTGCATTATCCCCCTGCAGCAGTCTTGAATTTAGACTTACCTCAATGAGTTTGCTTTCCACACCTCACTCTTGTACTAAGGAAATGTATTTAAGTTTCCCCTTATCCCTGTATAGTTACGGTAGAACACAAGTAGCTACCAGCAGAAGGACCAGGATGTCCCATTACCCTCCTAACCTACCTCTGTCCCTCCAGGTGTGTAACTGATGCCCTGCAGACAGGCTCTGTCTCGCAGTTCCTGGTCCGCACTCAGCTGGACAGACTCCACCTCCAGCTGGAGGCCTTCCGCTTCCAGCAGCAGACCAGCCCCAATGTGAGTCACCTTGTCTGGGCTGCGGACAGGCCTGGGAGGGGGTTATCCGTTATACATTTACATCATTTAGCAGACGCTCTTATCCAGAGCGACTTACAAATTGGTGCATTCACCTTATAGCCAGTGGGATAACCACTTTACAATATGTTTTTTTATTTTATTTGGGGGGTGGGGTATAAGGATTACTTTATCCTATCCCAGGTATTCCTTAAAGAGGTGGGGTTTCAAGTGTCTCCGGAAGGTGGTGAGTGACTCCGCTGTCCTGGCGTCGTGAGGGAGCTTGTTCCACCATTGGGGTGCCAGAGCAACGAACAGTTTTGACTGGGCTGAGTGGGAACTGTGCTTCCGCAGAGGTAGGGGGGGCCAGCAGGCCAGAAGTGGATGAACGCAATGCCCTCGTTTGTGTGTAGGGACTGATCAGAGCCTGAAGGTACGGAGGTGCCGTTCCCCTCACAGCTCCGTAGGCAAGCACCATGGTCTTGTAGCAGATGCGAGCTTCAACTGGAAGCTAGTGGAGTGTGCAGAGGAGCGGGGTGACGTGAGAGAACTTGGGAAGGTTGAACACCAGACGGGCTGCGGCATTCTGGATGAGTTGTAGGGGTTTCATGGCACAGGCAGGGAGCCCAGCCAACAGCGAGTTGCAGTAATCCAGACGGGAGATGACAAGTGCCTGGATTAGGACCTGTGCCGCTTCCTGTGTAAGGCAGGGTCGTACTCTCCGAATGTTGTAGAGCATGAACCTACAGGGTGTTGTCCAGGGTCATGCTAAGGCTCTTTGCACTCTGGGAGGAGGACACAACGGAGTTGTCAACCGTGATGGCGAGATCATGGAACGGGCAGTCCTTCCCCGGGAGGAAGAGCAGCTCCGTCTTGCCGAGGTTCAGCTTGAGGTGGTGATCCGTCATTCACACTGATGTCTGCCAGACATGCAGAGATGCGATTCGCCACCTGGTTATCAGAAGGGGAAAGGAGAAGATTAGTTGTGTGTCGTCTGCGTAGCAATGATAGGCGAGGCCATGTGAGGATATGACAGAGCCAAGTGACTTGGTGTATAGTGAGAATAGGAGAGGGCCTTGTGAGGATATGACAGAGCCAAGTGACTTGGTGTATAGTGAGAATAGGAGAGGGCCTAGAACTGAGTCCTGGGGGACACCAGTGGTGAGAGCACGTGGTGCGGAGACAGATTCTCGCCACACCACTTGGTAGGAGCGACCGGTCAGGTAGGACGCAATCCAAGAGTGAGATGCCCAGCTCGGAGAGGGTGGAGAGGAGGATCTGATGGTTCACAGTATCAAAGGCAGCAGACAGGTCTAGAAGGACAAGAGCAGAGGAGAGAGAGTTAGCTTTAGCAGTGCGGAGAGCCTCCGTGACACAGAGGAGCAGTCTCAGTTGAATGACCAGTCTTGAAACCTGTTCTGGTCAATGCCTGTTCGGCTGATGGCTATAACTTAAAACATGGCCAATCTGGGCCTGTATTCAGTGTCTCAAAGTAGGCGTTCTAATCTAGAAGTATGTCCACCCTCAAATTCATTGTTATTTCAAAGGCCAAACTGATCCTAGTTCAGCACTTATGAGACACTTTGAATGTGGGCCTATATGCACTGTCTTAGGATTGTTGATGTAAATATCTGAAACACAAAAGGGAATGTATTTGAATTGGGATGTGCACTGCATATGGTGTGTGGCGTCCAGATTCAATTTCCACCAGTTAACAGAAATCGCTCATAGATCTACATCACCTGTCGCCTGAAGGCCACTGTAGCAACTGCTCCCCTAGACATGGAGCACAAGGCCTGCTCCTTCGCTTTAGGATCCAACCGGTATGTATGGGCTTCTCGTTGGCATGTGAATTGTTAAGAGGCCTATCAATGGTGTAGCGTCATGATTCTCGCTCCACTCTTCTCCAGCTGGGTAGGAGCTGATGGGGATGATGCGGTGTGTGGCTGCTGTCAGACTTCCTGTGGCCAGAGGAAGGGGAGGAGTCTGCCCTCTGATACAGGTATGGGTTGTGTTCCCGTCAGACAATGCTGACGCATGCCAGGTCTTACAATGCCTGGAAAGGTATTTTGCATATCAGCTAGCATGTTATAGCAATCTGGTGCCCAACGACGTGGTACGCAACCATTGGTTAATGCATGCAACATCTGAGTAGGGGAATGCCACCGTGGTCTAACCGCTTACCTGAGGTTGTAGAAAAGCATAATTGCACCAGAATGAATCTGACCTACAGTTGAAGTGGGAAGTTTACATACACTTAGGTTGGAGTCATTAACTTGTTTTTCAACCACTCCACAAATGTATTGGTAACAAACTATAGTTTTGGCAAGTTGGTTAGGACATCTACTTTGTGCATGACACAAGTAATTTTTCCAACAATCGTTTACAGACAGATTATTTCACCATCACAATTCCAGTGGGTCAGAAGTTTACATACACTAAGTTGACTGTGCCTTTAAACAGCTTGGAAAATTCCAGAAAATGACGTCATGGCTTTAGAAGCTTCTGATAGGCTAATTGACATCATTTGAGTCAATTGGAGGTGTACCTGTGGATTTATTTCAAGGCCTACCTTCAGAAATCAGCCAAGACCTCAGGAAAAAAAATTGTAGACCTACACAAGTCTGGTTCATCCTTGGGAGCAATTTCCAAATGCCTGAAGGTACCACGTTCATCTGTACAAACAATAGTACGCAGGTATAAACACCATGGGACCACGCAGCCGTCATACAGCTCAGGAAGGAGACGCGTTCTGTCTCCTAGAGATGAACGTACTTTGGTGCGAAAAGTGCAAATCAATCCCAGAACAACAGCAAAGGACATTGGGAAGATGCTGGAGGAAACAGGTACAAAAGTATCTATATCCACAGTAAAACTAGTTCTATATCGATATAACCTGAAAGGCCGCTCAGCAAGGAAGAAGCCACTGCTCCAAAACTGCCATAAAAAAGCCAGACTACGGTTTGCAACTGCACATGGGGACAAAGATTGTACTTTTTGGAGAAATGTCCTCTGGTCTGATGAAACAGAAATAGAACTGTTTGGCCATAATGACCATCGTTATATTTGGAGGAAAAGGGGGGAACTTGCAAGCCGAAGAACACCATCCCAACCGTGAAGCGTGGGGGTGCTTTGCTGCAGGAGGGTCTGGTGCACTTCACAAAATAGATGGCATCATGAGGAAGGAAAATGATGTGGATATATTGACGCCACCTCTCAAGACATCAGTCAGGAAGTTAAAGCTTGGTCGCAAATGGGTCTTCCAAAGTTGTGGTAAAATGGCTTAAGGACAACAAAGTCAAGGTATTGGAGTGGGCATCACAAAGCCCTGACCTCAATCCTATAGATAATGTGTGGGCAGAACTGAAAAAGCGTTTGCTAGCAAGGAGGCCTACAAACCTGACTCGGTTAAACCAGCTCTGTCAGGAGGAATGGGCCAAAATTCACCCAACTTATTGTGGAAGCCTACCCAAAACATTTGACCCAAGTTAAACAATTTAAAGGCAATGCTACCAAATACTAATTGAGTGTATGTAAACTTCTGACCCACTGGGAATGTGATGATTTTCTCTACTATTATTCTGACATTTCACATTCTTAAAATAAAGTGGTGATCCTAACTGACCTAAGACAGGGAATTTTTACTAGGATTAAATGTCAGGAATTGTGAAAACTGAGTTTAAATTTATTTTCAAAGGTGTATGTAAACTTCCGACTTCAACTGTATATGGAGAGGAGTTGGCTAAGTGATTTCAATGGCTAGATTAGCCCTAAACAAGAGTAATGTGTGAGTGGTGTTCTTCTCTCTCCAGATGTTGAGTGGGAGGAGGATGCTATACTGGGGCCCATCTTCATCCAGGACACCTATGTGAAATGGGACAAGGAAGTACATGCTGGAGAGCAGCAAGTGCAGGCTGAAGCACAGCACTCTCATATGTTGGCTGAGGATCCATCTGAAGCGGGTAACTAAGCTACAACACTTCAACTTTACCGTAACCTATTAAGGATCGGACCCTTTTTTTCCATTTTCGCCTAAAATGACACCCAAATCTAACTGCCTGTAGCTCAGGACCTGAAGCAAGGATATGCATGTTCTTGGTACCATTTGAAAGGAAATGTGAAATTAATGAAGGAGAATATAATACAAACAAAAAACATGCCTAATTTTTCTTTCTTTATTTCATCATTTTTGACATGCGAGAGGCCGAAATATAATATTGCAGTTTAGGCGTGTGGAGCCAGAGACAGCAGGAGTTCAAACTGTAGAACCCAGTTCTTACATTTGAATATAAAAATGGATTTTATCAAACAAAACTTTGCTACATTTTATCTCTGGGACCCTTAGGATGACAAATCCGAGCACGATTACTGAATGTAAGTACATTATTTACCTTCAGAGGTGAATGTATCAAACCAGTTGCCGTGATACGTTTTTTGTTGTGCACTCTCCTCAAACAATAGCATGGTGTTTTTTTCCCTGTAATAGCTACTGTAAATTGGATAGTGCAGTTAGATTAACAAGAATTTAAGCTTTCTGCGCATATAAGACATGTATATGTTCTGGAAGGTTTGCTGGTTTGTACAACAGTCATGCCAATCACGTTCGGGCACATTAGCTCAACCATTCTGTATACGGGACACTGATCCCGTAGAGGTTAACCCGTAGAGGTCCCGCATTTTATTTGCGTGTTACAATTCAAATTGTTCCATGTAGCCTGAGCAATGTTTGAACATGTTAAATCCAAGTCCTTCTGCATCCTAGGTGTCTCTGCAGAGGCAGCCGTGGTGGGAGTGGCGATTGTGTTGGGCCTGCTCTGTGTGGGCGTCCTGGTAACCGTCCTGTACAGGAGGAACAATCCCTACTCCTGTGATTTACCCACAACCTTTTAACTGAAAATAATAATAAACATGGCAGCAATGCCTTTTCTCTACCCACCTGGTTGCTGATTTGTCTTTGCTTGGAGGGGGTTCACTGACTTAATGTTCAGATGGCCAACAGCATGCATGATGGGCTACTTGCTGCCACTCTTCTCCACTAGATGGAGACAGATGTTATCATCCTGTGCTAGTCGAGTGATTTGGGACTTTTATCTTAGACTTTATGGTTGAATAATTTGGTGTCTCATTGAATGTGAATAATGAGCATCCCAGATGGTGGCCCATGAGTTGTGGCTGTATTTTGGAAGGACTCATGAAAACACTAACCGTAAACAGTTTTATTTTATTTTTTTGTCACTGATCTAATCAAAGTAATAACCACACAATTTACTGTTAATCCTTTGGCACTGGCACAACATTGCTCATTGGGTGGCAAACAAATTAAAATGACCAGCCATGCTGACTGGTAAAGGCACGTTAATAGGTGATTGGTGTGTTTCACAATGTTATTTCATAGGTGACCTACGATTGTACCTCCAGAGTGCATCGCTTTAGAGTCCACAATCTAGTCATTTAGGTTATTACGGTCAACCAGGTCAGTCTTAAACCTGTTGGACTGACTACTGTGCTGCAATTCTCAGCATGACTGATACTATCAGTGTCATTTCACAATTTATCCAGCAAGGAGCAGATTTCTGCATGTTCTCAAGGCCCATGTGTGGGTCATAAGAGGAACATCTGGGAACCAGCATACATCTCAAATCTAAGGCTCAATGCAGCTAGTTTATCAATTTCTGGGTGAATAAGTACCTTACTGTAATTGATTTCCATTAGATTTGCCAAAAATTGTGTTTTAGCACAACTACACTACATGGTTTAAAGTATGTGGACACCTGCTCATCAAACATCTCATTCCAGAATCATGGTGATCAATACGGCGTTGGTCCCCCCTTTGCTATAACAGCCTCCACTCTCCTGGGAAGGCTTTCCACCAGATGTTGTGACTTGCTTCCATTCAGCCACAAGCATTAGTGAGGTTGGGCGATTAGGCCTGGCTCGCAGTTGGTGTCCCAATTCATCCCAAAGGTGTTCGCTGGGGTTGAGGTCAGGGCTCTGTGCAGTCCAGTCAAGTTCTTCCACACCGATCTCGACAAACCATTTCTGTATGAACCTTGCTTTTTGCACAGGGACATTGTCATGCTGAAACCGGAAAGGACCTTCCCAAACTGTTGCCACAAAGTTGGAAGCACAGAATCATCTAGAATGTCATTGTATGCTGTAGCGTTAACATTTCCCTTCAATGGAACTAAGGGGCCTAGCCCAAACCGTGAAAAACAGCACCAGACCATTATTCCTCCTCCACCAAACTTTAGTTGGTTCTATGCGTTGGGGCAGGTAGCGTCCTCTTAGCATCCGCCAAACCTAGATTAGTCCGTCAGACTGCCAGATGGTGAAGCGTGATTCATCACTCCAGAGAACGAGTTACTACTGCTCCAGAGTCCAATGGATTTACACCACTCCATCCGACGCTTGGCATGGAAACCCATTTTATGATTCGAGGACAGACAATTTTTACGCGCTTCAGCACTCGCCGGTCCCGTTCTGTGAGCTTGTGTGGCTGAGCCGTTGTTGCTGCTAGCATTTCCATTTCACAATAACAGCACTTACAGTTGGCCGGGGCAGAAATTTGAAGAACTGACTTGTTGGAAAGGTGGCATCCTATGACGGTGCCACGTTGAAAGTTACTGGGCTCTTCAGTACGGGCTATTCTACTGCCAATGTTTGTTTATGGAGATCGCATGGCTGTGTGCTCGATTTTATACATCTGTCAGCAACAGGTGTGGCTGAAATAGCCAAATCCACTAATTTGAAGGGGTGTCCACATACATTTGGCCATGTAGCGTATTTCTCAAGCAAGAATTTTGCTAGGACTATCTGGGGTGTAGACTGAGTGGGGAGGGGAAAACTAGCTCTTATTGGCAGAGGTTTGGAACCCTCTGTTATTGGTCTATTAACCAATTTACAGCATGGTGATGTCACCGTGGAAAGCTGAAACTCCTGCCCATGCAAACTTGCTGATTAGAAGGTCCTGTGTATATTGTATTTTCAACCAGCAACTATCAGGAAATAACACTGATCAAATTCACACTTTTACAGTGTTAGTTTCATCAGCTGTTGTACAATATGGAAAATCTGAAGTTTGACTGCACTGGGCCTTAAACACAGGTTGTGATAGTACCAGGTACAACATCGATTAATGGTATGTTTGCCATGTTAATTTATATTTTATTAGCATTTCTGCTGTTTTGAACCATATATTGATCATTTGGGATTATTCTAATGGTGGCAATATCGCAGTAAGTGGTAATACTGTAGGCCCTACCAGGGTTGGGAAGGTTACTTTCTAAATGCAATCCGTTACTAGTTACCTGTCCAAAACTGTAATCAGTAACGTAACTTTTTGAGTTTCTACATTTAAAAGTAGTCCAATAAGTAATGTAGTTGTTCAAAAGTATCTAATCTGATTACAATATTTTAGCTGGTAATGTCACTTATTTAGTTAGTAGTTTTGTAATCAGATTACATGTAGTCAGTTACTCCCCATCCCTAGGCCTATGTATTGGGAACGAACACCGGCTACATTATGATTAAACAGATGGGACTTCCAATAGAGGCATCAGATGTCTCGTTGTCTCTCGTTTCCTTGCAATGCTTTCGAACAGTGTTAAATTATCGGTTTTATTCGAGATGGATTCCAACATTATTGGTGTGGCTTGTTATGCATATACTGAACACAAAAATAAACGTAACATGCAACAATTTCAAAGATTTTACTGAGTTACAGTTCATATAAGGAAATCAGTCAATGGAAATAAATACATTAGTCCCTAATATATGGATTTCACATGACTGGGCAGGGGCACAGCCATGGGTGGGCCTGGGAGGGCATAGGCCCACCCACTGGGGAGCCAGGACCTGCCAATCAGAATTCGTTTTTCCCTACAAAAGGACTTTATTACAGACAGAAATACTCCTCAGTTTCATCAGCTGTCCGGGTGGCTGGTCTCAGGCAATCCCGCAGGAAAAGAAACCGGATGTGAGGGTCCTGGGCTGGTGTGGTTACACGTGGGCTGCGGTTGTGAGGCCGGTTGGACATACTGCCAAATTCTCTAAAACGATGTTGGCAACAGCGTTCGTGGACATTCCTGCAGTCAGCATGCCAATTGCATGTTCCCTCAAAACGTGAGACCTCTGTGGCATTGTGTTGTGACACAACTGCACATTTTAGTGGCCTTTTATTGTCCCCAGCACAAGGTACACCTGTGTAATGATCATGCTGTTTAGTCAGCTTCTTGATATGCCACACCTGTCAGGTGGATTGATTATCTTGGCAAAGGAGAAATGCTCACTAACAGGGATGTAAACAAATTTGTGCACAAAATTGGAGAGAAATAAGCTTTTTGTGAGTATGGAACATTTCTGGGTTCTTTTATTTCAGCTCATGAAACATGGGACCAACACTTATGAAACATTGGACCAACACTTTACTTGTTGCTTTTATATTGTTGTTGAATATAAATCCTTCTGTTCTCGTGCCACAATCCAATAATGTCGGCCTACGTGCAGACAACACGCCTGCACGAGGAAGAATAAATGTATGAGAGAAATATTATTGAAAAACAAATCAATGCAATATGGCTGCTTTTACACAGGCAGCCCAATTCGGATTTTTTTTTCTATCATCTGAAAAATATCTCATGTGAAAAGATATGTGATTGGTCAAAAGACAAATTAGTGGAAAAGAATATAAGAATTGGGCTGTCTGTGTAAAAGCGGCCTGTGAGGTCTGTATGTAGGCCTATATCTTGATTAGTCATGGTAGGTAACCATGTGTTTAGCTTTTCCTGTCCTATAGTGAACTTCAACTTGAACACATTTTTTGTCACTAGATCTGGTAAATCACATTCAACGCACTTAACAAACTGAGCAATCGATTTGCATGTGTTATTCCACAGTGTGTGGGACTTCCCAAGAAAAAATAAGTTAAAATGTCCAAACAAATTCTAATTGTCCATCCTTCGGTCTACAGCTGTGGGTTTATAAATAATGGGATTGGTTTTTGGGCAGGTTCGGGTCCGTCCATCCATCCTTGAAGGGAATAGCTCGGTTCTGCTGCTAGATTCGATTAATTCCCGTTCCGTCACTCTTCATTCCCTGTCCCCCAGTTGCATCCATTTGCGCCGTATAATATTATAGCAATCAGCCACGGCTTTGGTGGAGGCGCGAGGAGATGGGCAGATGGCGCGTAATTGGCTCGAGGCAAGAGCCAGGGGAGTCTGCGCTCCCGGGTCTCGAGGGAGAGACCCTTTCTAAAAGTGCAGGTGCGTTGGGTTTTGATCAAAACCGGCCCAGAAGAACTGTCCGAAATTTAAAGCATTAAGAAAACGATCCTCTCATCAGAACAAACTTCTCAAAAGCGTGTTTACTTAATTAGAGAACGCGGGGTGCACGTGGATGCTCCAATTAAGTCCATGGCGTTAAAACAGGGGGATTGATTGGTTCCACCGCTTAAGTGTTCATTAAATTTTGGTAGGCCATGTCCTACCAAACATGTCCAAACATCAAATTGATGGATGTCACAGCAGGACACTTTTAGGAGCTGTCAATATGAGCATCATGGACAGCTTCGTGGAGCCACGCCAACACCAACGCGCTGTCCATGGTGCTGAATTATTTGGCGCTCCCGCGGGTTAGTGAGACCTTATCATCCCATAATAGGTAGGCCTATGTGTGTAAATTATACACCGACAATCTGGGTAGAAGAGGGCACGAAACCCTGAGTTTCCCCATGGCACACAAACATCTAATCATGCTGACAACGTTACCATGCGAGTCAGGCTAAAGCAGACTGCTGGGTGAGACACATGCAGATATACTGTAGGTTCTCATCAGACAGGTAGCAGGTCCAATTTATCTCCAGAAATAGTCTATATAAAATAGAATGTCTTTGCAGTTTCATAAGAAATGCAGCAGAAATTGGATATAGAACTGAGTTGTGCAGTAGCGTTTTGCAAGGCCCTACTCCTGTACAAGCTCATCCTGCCTGTATCAGACTAATAAATTAGGCCCAGCGCCACCATAATGGTAGAATAAGGGTCTGACTTAGCCAACAGCTGTGACCCAGGGTTAC